TACTTGGGTCCTCTTGTGATCCACCCAATATGCTATTATGGATCGAGATGGATTTATGGGGAGGAAATCGAACACTCAAAGATGCAAACGTAAGCTTTTTCACTGTTCGTTATTGCGTATTAACCCATCGAATTTCTGATCTAACCCACCATCTATCTCCTTATTCAAGTGTTACATATTACCTTGTGATATTGCATTTCCTCAAACGCGAGCTTGAGACAGTATTTGTCCATCGATTCTCTAACGGTACTATGCCGTTCAGAAATATAATCAAGAACTCTGTGCATTATCATTTTCTCAGTGGTGTACTTCTTGCTTATGCTGTATATGGACCGTGGAATGCTGCAGGCACTGGTGGTGAGCGGGATGATTGGTATATCAACGCTTGCGTCGGTGTTTGGATTGTAAGTGATGTTTTCTGGACATAATTCTATGGTATTGATGAGCAATTAGCAATCTGCGATAGATCTATTAACACGAACGTTCGTATTTGCGTCTTAATACTCTCTTTTATGCAGTGGGCAGAATTATCCAATTTGATAACACATATTAATCTACGCAATCTTCGTCCTTCTGGCACACGAGTACGTAAGATTCCTCATGGATATGGATTCAACCTCATCTCTTGTCCTAATTACTTTTTTGAGATTGTGGCATGGACTGCTGTAGCCGCGCTCACACAATCAATTGCTGGTAAATTAAAGATGCATTCATTCCTCTTCCGTTTGAAGATAACACTCATATTCTAATACCACACCAATATCTCTTGTTATAGCAATTATCTTCCTCGTATTTGCCATCGGACAAATGTATATATGGGCCGTCAAAAAGCACAAAAGATATCGTTCGGAATTTAAAGATTACCCCAAAAACAGAAAGGCAATGATTCCATTTGTCGTTTAGTCAATATTCTACAGATATTTGTCCTTCAGCCAGTCGTGTTCATTTTCACCACTTTTTTTTTCCGTTGTATCGCTTGCATACTTGTTAAGAAAGAATCTCTATATTCTGATAATACAAAAATATATATTATCTGATCTGCTGTTGTCCACGTATTGTATTGTACATCAGATGAAATGGGGGAGACTATGTCACACGAGAAGTAATAATCGGGGAATGAATTCTTTAATTAAATACACAGAAAAGTATGATGCTACTTTACAAGTCACAAATTTACAGCAAAGGATCCTACAACTGAATGAGAGAGAATTCATTGATATATTAGTTCGACAGACTGATCATTTCAATGGTTTTTACATGTCCATCTCGAACATGTGATCGTGCTGGTCGCTTTGATCCTTGTTTTGATCTTTAAATAATAACAAAGCAAGACAAAAGCAAAACATGCGTTAGCATAGAGATCGTGGTACAGTCACGAAGAATCTTGGTTGATGACAAGTCACTATTGTTACAAAGCTCCTTACCATTATTATCACGACGCTCGGTAGACTTATCTGCATTCTCAATACCCTTTGACTCATGATGTTGCGTTGGCGTCGATCGATGCTGCACTCCAGGAAACAGCGGCTGAGGAGGAGCAAGATGTCCCTCCAGCTGGTTGACCTTCGTAACACCTGGCACAAAAGCCAAACCACTTGGCGGTGTCCTGGCAAGTGGAGAGTTGGCAAGATTTAGCAGAGTGCTACGATCATAACTAATGCGAGAGCCTACGGAAGATAAAACCGAGGTTAGTGTGATCCGGTGGCGAAGATGACCGACAAGAAACGAGTGAAATGAGAGAAGAATAGGATCGGGCTTATTAAAGGCTACTTTTATGTTTCAAAATCTCTAGACCCAACTTGCTCATCTAAGCAGTAGTTTGCTTGCTTATTCTAAAGCTAAGCTTAGCAAAGGAATCATAGCACAATCACAACTACGGTTACCTCCAGGTGTCGTCGAATACATTGAACCTAAAGGCGTAGTATTATAGTGCAAAGGAATAGGCGCACCGTCTTCGGCTCTCTTAGCTGCAGGAATATCCCTCGCTGTAGTAGTAATGGTATCCTCCATACTGTTTGTTTCTGGTGTGCGTAGACTTGTCCAAATTAGCACTATATACTACTAGAACGATACTCCACTCTGTTGGCAGTGATCTTATGATCCAAAGGTCTATAAAGAGAGGGATAGAGGAAGCATTGATCGACCTGAAAGCATGAAAATAAATAATCCCGGCATATTATTTGCGTAACAGCATATGGAACAAAGAATGACGCCCACACATATGAGTCATGCTTCGTCAAATTAATGCCGTAGTATTCAAGGCTCTGGATAAATCTGCCTGTTTTTACTTTCGTCAACCAGTCGTGTCCCTATGATTGGTTCCTACACACAGTGCTATAACAAATCTATACGCTTTTGTCTGCCAAAAAACATATCGATATAATATTAACAAGATTCCATTGAAACCATAATAAGAAATAGATTTTGCGCCCGATGATGTCATAGTGAACAGACTATGTAGCTATATTAATGTTAACCCCAGAGGGTTTCTACATTTGTAAACCCAATTAAAAGTGAACAAAGGGGGGTTGGTTGGTTGGTTTAAAATCATCATAATAGGTGTATGCTCCATTGTCTTTGCTTGCAATCTTTTGATTATTCAATAACTTCCAGAAACTATAAGCGAGAATCTTTTAACAAACTCAATTAGTTGCATGGTCGATCATGCGCGGAGAATGACGATAATGCGTGAATAAGTGAAAAACTTCCGTAAGCCAGCAATTATAGAAACAATGAACGGGTATAACGTAGTTACTCTACTTAGCAAAAGTCGAGAAAAGAAAGTCTGTTTCTCTTATCGCCAGCTGTTTATGTAATCCCAAGATATTGACCGCGTCTATAACAGGTTAGTTACAGTGAAGCTGTTGAGAATGTTGTTATGACGTGTCACAGAAAAAGATTCTGAAAAAGCGCTAGAAAACTGTCACGGACGAATTTCCATATCAAGGAAGAGCACGAAAAGGTGGACGCCCTGACCAATATACAGAGACTTTGAATTCAGGATTCCGCGCATATAGTAATTGTTTTCATTGAAATGTTTGTCGTAGACAATTTTTTTAAATGTATTAAAATTTAGCGCAATTTGGGTTTTTAATAAAACGGTCTTGTGTCAATATGTACTATTCTTACTTTTGTCAACTCATCGAGAGCTAAAAATTAAGGCGCTTGCAAAACGTTAACCCAGTGAATGTAAATAATTTTACGTGACACGAAACGTGGGTGTCATCTGCCGCATTTCCCGTCTAACGGTAACGCTTGATCGAACAGGTTGCGCTGGTCGTAGGATAAATAGGGAAAAATACACGTATTGCTGACACATAGTAATAACAGGAGAAAAGTGAAAGAGACAGTGAAACCGTAGATAAAATCGCAAGCGGCTCTTGTAAGTAGTATAGTTCTCTTCTAAACTGAATTAATCAAAACGCATATATTCCTTGTCCGCCTCTTGGCAATCTGATTGTAATTTTTGATTAGCAATCAAGAATTATAATTAATGTCGGTGTGATTGTCGCACAAACATAAAATTTATTTGCGTAACAGTATTTATTTTTTCAAATCAATAGGTAATAGTAATTTTACTCCAAGCGCATTCGTTGCCATCCATCCATTCTGTCTTATCGTTTGCTCTGGCACTCCGTCGTAGCTGTCAATATGTCTGGAAGTCAATCCGATTCTATTGTTTATCTGCACGTATAATATCAACAGGATGGTGGATTGCCAGAATAGCAAACACGATTCGAAGGTTGGTTTTCGAGTAATTGAGAAATAGTAATGGTCGAGTGATTATGTTTTTTGGCTGACATTATATTTCTTGAATCCAGCATCCGATGTAAATAAACCTTACTGACATGTTAGGGGAGGGCATCTTAAGATCGTTGCGGCAATAAGATCGTTCCGGCCTAAGATTGTTGCGGCCTAAAAAACATTCACGTAAGTTGTCGATTCATTATTGCATCGCGATTTGAAGATTCAATGATGAGAAAAAGAGGGTGAACACAAATAAAACATGATCACTTATTTAAGTCTCTGATCAACTAAAGAGGATATTGATCTTACCTATCACTGTGAAATGATATTGACATTCCATTCGTTTTGCAGGTTAGCAGTGTTTGCTCAAATACATCTCCCACTCCCGGATATCCTTGCCGATGTTACGCACACGATCTATCAGCCAAATGCGTTCTTGATAAGGAATCATGTGTCCATTTCCTTTATAGCTGACAGGATTACCAACGCTTTGATCGGGCCGGTAATTAAGTTTAGTAAGGTTCATGTTTTCACTAGTATCCGGGGGTTCAACCATCCAGCTATACTACAGTAGCTATATCCCTTGAGCATCACGCAACGGACCTGCAGCAAAAAGCTGATTTTAATTGTCGCAATGACTACAGTTCCTTCAGATGTTATATCAAGCATGTCAAATCCAAGTGTATTAAAAGCTTCATTGAATTAATAAAAGTCCCAACCGTAACTGAACAATATTACACAGTTATCGATTATGGAAATGGTATGTATGTCATCTATACACCGTCTATATCGCATTTCATAAATCCGTATGTAGATGTCGCATATGTGCTATAACATTAAAGTCGACGTGTCTAACACATTTACTCAAATGTTATACGAAAGAGTCTCGTCAAGCAATTGACATTCTACAGTAGTGAATAATTGCCATATATCGCTGTCTCATTTCGCACATATTAAAATCGCAGACAATAATGACACCAAGATGAACCTACTTTCACCGAAAAATTGAGGTTAAATAAGACTATTCCCACAGTCTCCTCACGACTATCATTACTTAAATTGTCTACCAGCTTTTTCGTTAAATTGTAAGCAAAGTAAAAGGCTTCTTTGATTCAAGTTTTACTTTGTGTCCAATGTATGGTAAATTCTAGAACTTTCCATATAATATTAGATATTGTGGTCGCGTGATTATATTAATCAGTCAGATGAATGTGAGTACGCTTTCATCTTGAAAAGACGCCACAACTGCAAAGATGTTTGGATGTATTGTAGCAGGGAGGTTGGTAAGTATGCGGGAGTAGTTAATTAGTTGTTTAGTTGGGTGATGTACGATCTGATTGGTTGTATTAAACGAATTACTGAATTGTCCATTGATTATGCGTTGGTAGATTCAAACCAACCTACAACAAGTGGATGTGAATAAATACATATTTGAACTGCCAGACGCAGCTTCAATCAATCACATTGTGGTATTTCTACTGGGTACGATTCCATTCGATCCGGGTTACGCTGCAACTGTACATTTTCTATGGCCGGAGAAAGAATGGAAACCTCTTGGAATGTAAGAACATTCCTTTGAGAAGAGTATGATACATTCATTTGTTTCTTTTATCTCTTATTCCTTTCACGTCAAATTGTAGGCTATCAAATGAAAAACCCAGCGCAATATTTCGTCTTCGTGGTTCCATGGTCCCAGCATTACAATCTACTACATTATCCTCATCAGGATTCACATATACAACCCCCAGGTTATTACCAAGCAGCACTGAAGGAATGTCGATGGACCTAAATGAAATGGCAGCAGCAGCAAATGCGTCAGCGCCGGTTATGGCCACACTTGGCATCTCAATAGAGTCGATCGACGTAGTGGAAGCGCAAATGAAAACGCTTCAATCTCAATTTCCTACGCCATCGTTCACGCCTTCATTTGACAATCTTATGTCAATAGCCGCCAACGTACTAAAAAATCTATATAATTATATAACATCATTCTCAACGTCTAATTTACCATTCGGTGCGCAAATTTTGGGAGACCCAGCAGGAAATCAGTTTTTTCTGCCGATGAAGGTCTTTCAAGAATGGTACGGTAACTTTACGAGAAAGATTAAAGTCGATCCAGGCTTCCTACTGAAGAACGAGTAGGTTAGGCCATTGATAATAGGCAGGAGCAATTTTGCAATAGTAATAGAGTACGCAGGTAACTATGAGTATGGTTGTGGGGTGGGGATTGATGTGGAATGTGTTGTAGTAATTTCTAACGCTGTAACAGATTTGGTTAAAAAATAGTAGAAACAGCGAGTCCCGTGGATGTCAATTTTCAGAATTGTAAAAGACGCCTACATTTGGTCACTGGTATATAATTTTTTCACATCTGTATAACACTTATTAATGTAAATGTTGCATGCTGCAATAAACCAAGCAAAGTAAACATTTACATATGATGGGGCTAGTATGGCTACGATCTTTTCGGATACAATTCACTAGCTTGAATGCTGATTATCCGGGTACATTAGGTATTTAATATTAAACAATGTTTTAGTAACATTTAAACTCGGGAAAATACTGTAGTAGTAGCACTATAGATATTATCACTTTTGCTTAAATTTTACTCAATAAAACGACCAGTTTCTCGAAAATACCGTATAAAATGAATCGACATATCTCCAATATTTCCACTCAGACAATATAAATACTGTTTATTATGACAAAGATGGAAAACAGAAGAAGCACAAAGGAGATTATGTCAAAAAGTTGACAAACAAATGATTATCTCTCCTCTTTTAATTTTTTTTAATAATAAGTAGAATTGGTTTTTATAGGATCTTTATTGGCAACAACAATAATAATAAGACACATAAAACCTCATAATAAAAAATATTTTCGTGTAACCTTTATTATTATACTGTTACGCGATTGTTTTCAATTTAGTTCTAAACACGACCCGCCAATCATGCCCGATTCAATTAAAGCGTTAGCTAGCATGTAATTCTTTGTCGCGGAATATATATTCGATACTCCGGACGCCTTTCTTTGTTGAATACACTAACAAAATGCTTCAAGACTTCAAAAAGATAATATGGGACTTCAAACCCATCCAATGAATGTGTAATTTAATAGACCTTCACAAAATCTGTGTTCAACATGAACTTGGACTGGAATAATTCCACAACAGACTTGGCTGCAAGATCTAAAAGTCTATCCACCATATGTGAATATCTGCAGACCTCTTGTATCAACAATATGATGCTGAAGCCATGCCATACTAGTTGGATGATCGCAAGGTAATACTAACATATGATGGTAGAGTTTATAAAACGACGAACACGCTAACATTACTTGGAAGTAATAAAACATGTACACCAACATTTGTGAGTGAGTCTGCTAGAATATACTCACTTCCGACAGACGAGTACAATGATAATATCAGTCAATTTAGACGATATCCCATATTGCTTGAGAAACGCAACGAACTCATGATTGGATTTACCAAGTCTAATGACAAGTAGTATATGGTTGCTCATAGACAGTTTTTACCATTGTTGTCCTCAATATGGATTCTCCGATGTAATCCTGTAAAGAATTATCCGATGGATGGACTAACAACAATAAGCAACTTGATGAGTTTATTACAAAATCTCCATTACAAACAAACTCAGCAAATTGAAACTTATTTGGAACGGATTCCATTTGGTTGTATTCGTGGTGGGGGAGATTATGTATACTCAAATGGTTCACCTACTATTACTACCGATAATTATACACGAGTTTCATTGACTCCCATTGAAATAACAGATGCGACTGATGATTTATATTAAATCATTTATTTATGCGCCATGTTTATTAAATGGTTTAAATAATTATTGACTTATTATTATGTATCACTTCCGCTAGTTACAGTAGGATGCAAAAGTATCCCACCACTTCTAATTCGGGAAAATATAGTGTATAATAAACCCTAATCACTTATAATTTCAGCTTGATCGGCAAAATTTACAAACATCCAATATTTGCCTTTAAAACATATGAAAACCAGACAAAAGCCATATTTTAACATATACTTCAAAAATCCATATCTTCACATGTTTCTAATTAATTTGCGTGATCTTTTTTTGTGTTTCGTTTATCAAATCAATTTCTACGTATTTCTTTAGATGTGGCGGTCATTATACTTGGAAAGGCACGTGAATAATTTTTATAAGTATCATTATGCCGCACAATTGTTTGTATTTTATAGTAGCGATCACACAGTAATTTATTTTAAAATTATATGAATGCAATTTGATGATGCGGAGGAACAAAATAAAGTAATTTGGTTAGGGAAGTGTTGAGATATGAATTTTGAACTCTTTATGGCTGAAACCCCGAAATATGTCATGGTAAAAACTTTGGTGTTTAGAAATTTTGCTGGAGGCATCTGATCAAACTGAAATTTTACAAATGGTCAGGGTTTATTATATAATATATACAGGGAAATTTTCAAAGCATTTACTCATTTGTGTCCCAAATTAGAAGTGGTGGGATACTTTTACATCCTACTGTATGTAATGAGCAACCAGATATTCTTACCACGGATGTTTGGGTTACCATCGGATTCACACATGATGTAAAAGTATTGTCTAATAAAAGACATATATGAGGGGGGATTATGTCTGGTATGTACGAAGCGACTAGAACCCATTCTGTCTGGCATGTAAAGCACCTAGACCTCTTACTTGAACTACGGGCAACAAGTCTTTGGATTCATTTATTATGGAGTCGTGGAAGAATACGAGTAACAAAGATTATGCGTATATACAATGGATGGAATACTCTCTATTGACAAACGTACAAGAGATGGCATCATTAACCATGGATGCACACATATGGCAGAATGTTTAGAACTGACAACAAATGAATTGACACGCGTGACATTCAAAAAGATAGTTGATGAAGAGAATGATCAATTATTGGATTTTTATCAGGTAAATTATCTTGTACAAATAGTATTATTAACGTGTGTATCGCGCGCTTGAACTGACCAGTGTTGTAACGGCTGTCTTTGTTTACTCAAATAACTAAGGAATAACGAGATATATTAACACCCGAGAATATTTGGATAATTGGGATTACCCAGGTGTCATCTATTCAGGAATATTATTTAGTTTTCTCCCACGACGTATATGCAATATTGGATAGATTCATATGAAATAATGAAGATGTTAAGTACATGCATTTTAGCGACTTTTACGAACTCAAAGAGATCGGGTCTGGTGTTACGGTACAGTTTATACTGCCAACTATAAAGAGTAATCAATGAGAGGTGATAGAGTTTGATGAAACGCCGGAATTATTTATTTCCGAGAATTGTTGATGTAATCTGACTCTGTATTTATAGTTCAGAAATCATGCCAAGTGTGTGGGAAGCAATTTCCAGCGTCATACAAGACCCAGAAACAAAAGAGTATATTATTGTGCAATTGCTAAGAGTGGTAGTCTTTTGTTTATTTGGCTCAAAATATTAACAAATTGACGTGGAAGATGGAATTATGGCATTAGTATGTTCATTATGCGGGATTAGTGCATTGCGATCTTCATGACGGAAACATTATTTCACATGATAGTAGACTATTCATATGCAATCTTGTCTCTCAGATCAGTGAATTCACGCGCGTTCATTCGAGGCATTTTACTCTTTATTGCGCTGGAAGTCTTCCATACCTGCAAATTCACTCATAAATCAGACAGATATATTCTTTCGGTATCATTATGTATTTGATTGAACCACCTTTTAGAGATAGGCAGTTTGATAGAGATTTAGTATGCAACAATATGAGCGGACTAGGACCATCGATGCCTGAATCCACACCAGAGGAATACAAGAAACTTGGCGAACGGCGCTGTGATGCTGATCCTGACATTATTTTCCAAATGACCCCATGTAGTCGCCAATAAGGCAAGATTTTCTTGCTCAACTTCATTTGATAGCCATGACTGGAATGCAGACAAGAATCCTGGAAATGCGATAAAAGCAGAGCTTCGATTGAAGAATCCTGTAAGAGCTAAAACCCTAGGTCATTACGCGAGTGATGAATCATCAATCCGCTCATATCCCTCGAAGATCTATTATGATATTGCTGCATAGCCTTAACAACCCCATGGCGTCAGTATCGATTGTACATCTAACAATACCATACTGCTTACTTATCGTAATCCAACATGTTTGCCAAAAGAACAATGCTGCCAAATTGTGGAATCAAGAGTGTGTAATACCAAGGAATTTATAGTCTTACAAATATACTAACACCTTTTTCAAACAATATTAAAAAGTAGAGAAAGCAGATTGATAATACTCCTGGGTCAAACAAGGAAATTACTATAAAAGTATTACGTGCTTACCTAAAAGAGCGTTTGTTTCAAAAGCGGATATTCTCAAAAAATTGGCTCTGCTCTAAACATGGTCTTTCTTACACGCTCGCGTCAATTAAGACATGAATAAGGCAGCTCTTTATGCTTCCCTATTACCAAGGTATAAACTCGCGCTCATATGGTGCACTAATCTATTTAAATAATGAATATTGCATCGATAGTCGACATGTTCTTTTTGTTTATTGATACTCCAGCGTATGCTTAATTACTGCTAGATGTTACTCTAACTTCCGTAAGCTTATCCGTATTTCGTTCAGCAACAATGAAGCAGATGAATAAGGCTCTGTTAAAACGGCAACTAACAATAATCGTTAATCGAAGAGTACATTTATAATTAATTTCGACGCGTCTTTAAAGGATTTCCCATAATCATTCCGAGTAAACGTGTTTATTTAATAATTAGTAGATAATAGGTTTAATCAATTAAGGTTAAGGCGGCTGGAGACGCTGGTGCCCCAAAGGTTACCGAAGGTGGTTAGGCACCTTTGGGGGGCGTAGTTTCTCCAGTGGTACAGAGGCGGATCCACAGGGAGAAATTGGAGTAATATATCGAAAGCTACATGGATAGATACTACAAAGACAAAGTAAGCAAAACTAAGAGAAAGAAAATGAGTCGGGGCAACAAAGGGCACGCGAGGAAAGAATGCACGAACCCCAAAAGCGACTCAAAGAAAGGTTTTACGACGTAATTTTATTGACAGGACGTAAAAGATACGAATATATCGGATGTTATGTCGTATCATAAACGATAACGTTCGATTCAGTCTTATTTTCACATTCAACAGCTACTATTTCAGCAAATTTGACGTAATTTTAGCTTTCTCAAAAGAGGCAATTGGTATTGTATGTGACCATCTTTTGTTGCAACACTGACGCTTATTCCAGACTTAAAACAATGCAACTTTGTGGAAGATTTTAACCTACTGTTGTTGAGATTACCCAACATTGCATTAAGCTGATTACCCATGAATAGACAACAATTGAAACAGACACTACTGTTTCTTCATTACAAAAGTATTAAGCTATTGGTTGATGGTTCAATATTAAGACGCTCGTGTTCGCATTCAATTTTTGATGACGCCTGCACATTTCACAATATTTGTTGCAACAGTATTATAATTCTTTTTAATTAAAACTTGTATAATTATAATGCTGTAATACAACACAAAATTTTCTTAAAACGGTTAATTATCATTGCTTCAAATTGGGTATAACTCCAAATCTCCCCATGCCTAGAAAAGTCCCCCGTTAGTAGATAGAACATTATTAATTTAGTCATTGGAATTATTTAGAGTAAGTTTGTGTCATATTTCGGTATTTGCATTATTACTTGTCGAATTTTCTTCTTTTTATAGAGCCGTCGGAGCCGTCGAATGCAAATGGAGCAACTCTTGTCATAAAATTATTGATTGTCGTTAATATGTTCTCTCCAGGAAACAATAAGTATGTTTATATGATAAAACTGACTGCCAGGATTACTTGAACGGCCATCTTTGCCAAATTGAGGACATTTTATTTATCAATGATGAATCATTAGATATAATTACTTGGTCAAGGCAAATGAAAGGATTTCCAATGCAAGTGTGCATAACGCCACAATCATCATGAGATTAGAGTACGATGAACTATGACTACGCTGATCTACAAATCAGCAGATCATCTGACCAATTGTACTATTAAAACCCCCTTGAAAAGTTATGATAAATGTGATGCAATGCGGGTACAGTTGCAGCATTGATTTTGCTCGTGGATGATATGCTACGATATCCGACGGGGTTATTTTATTTTTATGAATCGGGTTGATATTACAGATGTCAAAAAGGTGTGATTTTTTGATGGATTCTTTTCAAATTTTTTGGGGGGACATTAATTAACATGGGAAACTGACAATATTAATATACATTTCGTGACGCAGCCTGTCACGGGTTTACACAAATGGCTTTAAACAGACATTAAGGTTGGCTTGCCAAAACTCAAAACCTGGTGTGGCCTATCAGATCCTAAATAAGTACGCTAATGGGAGCAGACAATGACAAACAATAGAAGAATGCACAGTACGTATAATAACTAGTGGCGCAACAAGTGATGTAAATTTTAAGTTAATAACAACAACAACAACAACTAATAATAACCACAAATATAACTTTGCCGAAACCACACACGCAGCTGTCCCCTTTATGACTGTGAGAATGGCAGACTCACACTCACACTCACGCTTGACGGGACAGTCCTTTTGATTTCCCTGTATGCAATACTCCTCTCTTCTCTCCTTCAAATGGCAATTCACCCATCCTTCATTCCCCATAGTAACGTTGCGCACACGATTCCCTTATATGCTTTCGTTCCCCTACTTGTCTTTTCACCCCTTGCAATCTAATCCATTCATCCCTCTTTTTAATCTTTAATCGCAACCTCCCTTGGTATATCGTGGTACAACGGCGAAAAGCAAGTAAAACTGGTGAGAGTTTATGATGTTGCGCCAGATTGAGAAAAGGGGATGTTAATGTGGCTGAGTAATACCAAATACAATCTCCGTAGACGATTTGCTGCTAGCATAAATACCTAAATGCAAAAATCGGATGGTGATTTATAGATGCAAGTGCAGATATTTAATTGTGCTATTGTTATATCACATATTATTAATATACTATAATACCATATATATTCTTCCCATATCCTATTATTGTATGTCATTATTTATACTTAATCCATCCAACACTTTCATCCCCCTTCTCTCATACCGCTCCCATCAGTCTGGTTTCACTCAGTCCAAACTTGCCTCCTCCCCACTTACTATTGTCTGATAGAACTCTTCTCTTTGCTTACCACTTCATCATTCGCACTCTTTCCTTACTCCCTTTCCCATTACCTATCAATTACTTTTCGCTTCTCAACACTATATTTTAACCACTCCGGGTAACGCTCCACCCACCCACCCCCCTACGAATAAAAAAAAGCGAGAAAAAAAAAAGTATTCATAATACTCTTAATACCCACACCCAATATACGATCATACACTGAGCATGAGAGAATCAAACTTTTCCTTTCCTTCCCAGAACCGAGCTTCAGTATGCATCACGTCTGCCCTTTACGACAGGAGAGCCCTAGATTGCACAGCCATGTTACCTCTAATCAACTCACTCACCCATCTCACATATTTGACTAGCACATCTCCTCGTATCCGAGAAATACTTACAATGGATGGAGGACTTGAGCGTCTAGTTAGGATACTTAAAACAACAAAAGCTAGCGATAAACGAAGTGGTTGGAAGTGGTCTATGGCATTCCAGTGTGTTGCGAACGTAGGAGTCCGTGGGTCAGAGAAGATAAGGACGAGAGTTGTTGAGGCAGGGATGATACCAGTTATTATTACCGTATTGGACAATTTTTTAAAAGCTTTGGATCATGTTAGACTGGAGAAAGAACAGCAAGCGGCACAGCAACAGCAGCAGCAACAACAGTTGTATACTGCTCAGTTGTTGTCATCACAGCACGCTGCCTTGCATGAAGCTTTACTGGAAAACGGTAATGTGGACATGACTCTTTTTTTTTTTCTTTTACCCATCTTTTGTATGCCGATTTGATAGTCATTTTGACATTTACAAATAGTTTGACTTTTTCATAGATAAAAGCTGTCATAGTATGCCACATGTGATTTATCACGTCCACTGATTTATTTCATTTTCTACTCTTTATCACGCGTATATAGTTCCTGCTCCCATAACAAGTAGGATGTTTGCAGGATATAATATTCGTCCCTCAGAAGATGCGCGATCAGACGTCGCTTCATGGGGCTCGGTGACTGACACGGAAGAAAACAATCTCCAACCACTTGCTGGAGTAACTAATACAAATACCATTCTATCTGCTTCAACTAATACTACTGCTGACTCACAGTTTGATATCAACGTTTTCTATCGTGAAGAAGATATCCTCCTCTCACTGCAACTGTTAGCTTACCTCTCCAAATACCCTCACCTTAGAGAGACATTTCACAATGCCTACCCTCCCCATAATGTTTTCTCCTTGGTCGAAAAGTTTACTCAACGCTTCCACCCACCAGATATACAATACTGGGCGGGAGTAATTATGAGAAATGCTTGCCGGAAAGATGACAATCGGGGTGGAATTCGTCAGTGTGCTTACATGGCGTGTGGTAAATGGGAACAATATCCCCGCGAATTTGCTAAATGTCGTAGATGTCGCAAGGCTAAATATTGTTCAAAGCCATGCCAGTCGAAAGCATGGAACGAAGGTCATCGGTGGTGGTGTATGGAAAGACATGGACATAGTGAGGGCGAGACTTCGAATCAGCGGAAACAACAACAACAGCAACAGCAGCAACAACAGCAACAGCAACAACAACAGCAGCAACAGCAGCAACAACAACAGCAACAACAACTACCACAACAACAACTACAACGTCAGCCGCAGCAACCGCAGCCGCAGCAACCGTCTATCGCCGTAAGTCCGAATATGCCTAGAACACGTCCAAACGTGCAATTTAGTGAGAATCTCCTTGAAAGACTTATGACTCGGGATACTACAACTGCTGCCACAATGTCATCGGAATCGACGCCATCTGCGACAGCGATGCAAGATGTAAATGCGTCAACTACTCGGAGCGGTGTCTCTGATTCTGATTCGTTTTTTGCCGTGTGAAAGCAGGCGGTATGTTTGGGAGTTGAGTTTGATGTTGCTGTTGGGATTGTAATAACTCTATTAATGGACGGAAAGGCTTTGAATTGAATTCTATCGATTCCCCCCGCTTATTAGCGTTATTATAATTATATCTGATGCTTAGTTGTACTTATACCTAGCAGGGACTCTGGGTAATGAGTTAATTGTATGCGTTTTATGACGGCAGTGGTTTTTTTTTTCTTCTTACGATATATATACCTATCCTATAGATGATATTGTCATATGCACTTGTTTATTAATTGCTTTGATCTTATTGTAGACGGCTTATCATTTTGTGTTAGTCAACTTATGCAAACATTCTATAAATAGTTCAGATTTATTGACAGATGGTTTACGTCATCTACAATATTTTTTTTCTTTATATATATATATTTTTCTATTATGACATCTACGATTAGATGCAAACACTCTCACACGGGATAGAACGCTGTCCACTGAGAATGTTGTTTCACCATGTTAATATACAAAGTATTAATATGTATTTGCCATTTTATTTTTTTTTCTTCTGCCTATACTTTTCGTTTTATTCATTCTTCCTTTATTCAAGTTGTTTATAGTTCTTTGGGTTAGCTGTTGATGTATGATGTAACTGATGTGAACAGTGATTGACTAACACATAGATGTTGAGCAGACAAAATACAAGATGAAGATATTTACTCAATAGAAATATGTTGTGATAAACTAAAACAGTAATATTTTGATGTTTCTGTCAAAACCGGTAATTACAAATGACGAAACGATAAATTATTGTATTGTTATTGACGGTTATATCCCTTATATGGAAATGCAATCTTATGTCGCTCCATTTATCACTCATGCATAGTAAATGACATGTGAGCAAAGAATACTCTTAGAAACATGGTATAATTATAGACTATAACCGATCTAACACACAAACATGAGACGGATGTTGTAGTTTCAAGTTGTAATACTTTTTGATTTTAACTTAATAAAACAAGCTTTGATTTCGTTGGTAAAAAGTACTCTCAATCTATCGACATATTAACAATAATAATAAGGGATCAACACAATCTAATTGAGGATTCTCACATGTGAGGGCAAACTCATGGCAGAGCACAACGCTTTCTCTAATTGGCTTGTCCCCTATTCTTTGTTCTTTGTGTCTCATCTGTAGAGAGTGAACGATGCCTAGGAAAGTCGAATAATGTATTGCGCTAGCCCAATCTATATACGTCATGAACTTTAAGAGAAATACATTCTTAGAGGAGGTAAATGTATGACAACTATGGGGAAAGACGACAAAGAACTGACCAGAGAAGAAATGAATGGCAAGATGCCTCCATTGTCAGCTACACAAATCATGGGCGTGAGTATTTAACGGGGGGAAGCGAAATGGATAATATTCGTCCAGGATTGTGTCATTCAACCGAAATCTTGCTGCCAGCAAATATGATTCGCGATGTGGCCATTTCGTAGGTGCTGCAAACAACAAAGGCCGTAATGCATGTAGCAACCCCCGTTTGACGCTCACCTGTTATGAGAGAATACATGAATTGATATCCGAATTTCCTAGAATAGCGGGCGATCCGGACGAGGAGCGTCAATGAAACCATACAAGGTGTAATCACAAGTCAAAGAAAAAAGCACGAGTTCAGGAGTTTTCATTTTTGATGGGCGAAAGATGGAAGACGAACGGCCGTTATACTAAAATCGAAATTCAATACCGAGGACAGGGGCTGGTGGATAACAATGATTATTGAAACTTGTGCGATACCGTGTCTCAACTCATGCCTTTCATGCATAAAATATCTGCATTTTCAACAATACATTTGGCACTTATTATTATGAGTTACATGGGTTTATCTGTTTTACCGATAACCATTTTGCTACCCATGTCGTTTATCATAGAGTATTTAGATTTCCTTTTTTGATGTATCATTCGGACAAACTGGTTTGCTAAAGATAATCGAATCTAATGCATTTGCCCTGTGAATGTGAATAAACGAAAATAATCAACCTATTAAAAGTAATACAAAAACAACCATTGAAATGCACGCATAGTTACTGCTGACCTGTACGTAATGGTAAGCGACATATACTCGACAAACTGCAGAACATGCGTAATAACGTTTAAATGTCAAACTATTGTAACGATAATGGATAGAAATATTTTGGCCTAGACCATCTAATCAGCTAGGTATATTAATAAAAATTCCATTTTCGTTTGAGAACTGTGCGAACAAGTCAGTAATGAATTACTAAAAAGTAATATAAAATATGCCTAATTGTTTGTGTTCAAACTTTAAACAACTTCAACAAGGAGAAACTAAGAAGTTAATAACATAACATTAATGTATACACAGTCATTATTAATAGTCTATCCTTTATTAAAGTTAGAGACCATTGTTTCTGCTTTGTACACTTAACAAATACCTTTTTGGATTAGTGCATACCGTTTGTCTCATTATTACTATAAACACAAGTCCCAAATGGCTTATTAAAATTACCTGAAAAAGAACATAACAAATTGGTATTTACCAGCCACAAATAAACAAGTAAAAAGACTTCGAAATCCAATTTTCTTTATTTATGCATAAGGGATAATAATGTAAATGCACAAAGGTTAGTCCATAGATTTACAAAGGTCAGTTGATATGCCTTTTTTTTTATGCAAGCTGACTTTTAGGGTAACTCTTCATGCCTTTGCAAAGAGATGAGCACATTATTAGGAAAAGCGTGCATTCTATCCATTCGTACATGTTGATGTTAGAACCGATAGTTTTACGAAATGTCAACGGGACAAAGTCTCCGTTGCAGCTTTCATTGTTCTGTCATCATTATTAATCAATCTTTGATAATACAATTATGATGCCACGAATTAATTCTCCTCCGCAGTAGTCACATGATGCGCGAACTTCTCTCACATAATACGGGTGTCGCAAAATTGCACACATGTCAAGAGTTAATAATAAATGAGACAAATATATGATCGAACATACTCTCGGAGCAGATATAGACTAAATGTGAGAAATTAGCTTTTTGCTATTAGTGATACAGAATTGAAAGAATTTCTCCTGAGGCCAAACGTGTGTAATCTAGAAGCATTGTCGGCTAGAGCATAATCTGGTAAACATTATCAAGTTGACTAAATAGAATGATTCCGATGGGTCCAAGTTCTCAAATGTCATATATCAGTGTTTTTCCGGGTATACTGGTACGACACTATATTGAAGGGTTTGTTCAAGTTGTTCCACAATGCGGGCATGTCAAACGGATTTCAGCTTGGTTACTGCGGTCGTTAACGATTAAAACCTTGGCCTGAACTAAGCGCGCGTGAATTTTACTGATCGGTCAAAGGAGATAACTTGTATTTCAACGATTGTGAGGACGTAGCTTTAGTTCGGTCTTTATAACTATTAAAGTCTTAATTGCTCTCTTTTACATCAATCTGCTACTCTTGCATAAGCCGAATAAAATTATTACATGTTTGTGAGTTTTAACGTGTCATTAACTGGTCATTAGTCACGTCTGTGTTATGATTTGTCTTGAATTCTTGTTTTAGCTACATAATAGCTGCCCACTTTTACACAAAGGCAAAATGATCCGCAACTATTGACAAGGACTGAAAACAAACGTACGAAGTAGAAGGTTAGATCAATATTGTAGGGTAAGTAGTGGCATTCTTATTTCAAGTTTCAACAACCTAATAATTATGACTCTTCTACAAAGCAAGCAGACTGTTACATGTTTTTTGAAACAATAATACATCATAAATATCCAGGCATTAAAGATGTCATTGGTTTGTGCCAATCCTTGATGGTCATAAAGTTCAGAAACATCGATTTAGTAGATTACCTCTGTCTTAATAATATGCTTGATTATATTAATATGGGGCATACTGCAACAAACCGAACATTTATTTTGTAACATAAATTAGAGGCTTGTGTGGCTGAAGGTTAAATAATTTGACTAACGACATTTTAATTGTTCACAACTGCAAATTATGTAAATTACATTTTAAGTTTACATCATGCCAGCATGTAACTAACATTAAAGTTGCTGAGATAAATATGATGTCATAACAGGATTAATATAGAATTATTTTCATATAAAAAATATATAATTATGAAATTAATTTATATCACATCCACCATGGAACCAAAGAATTACAGAACAATTAGAAGCATTCTAAAGAAAGCTCAAGGAGAAAAAATTACCCCTTATGTTTTTAAAATTAATGATACTAAAATCCTTGAGGAGTATCTGGATAAAGAAAAAATTACTTATGAAATTTACCAAGAAGAACAAAAAGTAAAAACCAATTAACAACAACGTATGATGAACCAAGGAAAAACGAAAACTAAAAGATATGTAAAAGGAAACTTCTAAGCAATTTAACATAAAGCTTCCCACCAAGGCTCCCACTGATCGAGTATCCTATTACCGAAAGATTATCCTCATAGTCGTCGATTTGTTGTTGATAAAAGACTGCTGCTTTGAGCTTTGATTCAAGTTTCACTACTTTGACACAATTGTAACCAAAAGAGTCAAAATTTCACAACAAAATTTAATTTTGTAAGCACAATTTTAATATTTATTCTTTGGTCACTCTGGTGCAGAATTAAATTTCATTGTTATTTTACCATTACTATTATTAATAACATTGTAATTGTTTCTAGCTGAGTGGTTTACATTTCCCTTCTTTTCTTCGTCAATCCAACGTTGAATTGCCATAATGGATTTTCCACACGGATTTGTTTTTTGTGGGTAAAAATCCCCGCACATAAAATTACGATAAATGGGTATTTGTTGGTTAATGCGGAAATTATTTTAGGAAATGAAGAGCATGAAGAGCGAATGAACATCAAAACTATGTGAAAAAAGATAAGCTCATGCAGCAAGTGATGGTGATGGAAATGTACTTTATGTTAATTACGGAAATTATATAGCGACGTAAATTATATACAACATATATGTTAAAACCAGCTTTAGCAGTTTATCTGTAATTGGGCAATAAAGTCTTACATTAACAACATGTCATGTGTCTAAGAAATTTAACATAATATTCAGTAATGAATTAAAAGAGAATGATTAGCTATTAATTAATAATAAGTTGTGCAGTTTCACTGATCAGATAATAATCATTATTGATTATGATTGTAATATATTCCATTGGTGATAAAAGAGATTGCACAGTTTATTTAAATAATAAATTTAATATGTTTTAACAATTTAGAATTTACATTTCAGATTAATATCTAACATTTATATTCAGATGCAATGTATTTCTTATCACAATATTGGATATTATTTCTGCCAGCATTTCACAACATAATAATGCTGAAATATAACTATATTGAGTAAAGTTCTACTACTACCTGAATTACAATATGCTTAATATAGGATTATGTCTATATAAAAATATAAACATGAAATTAAATCCACTATGGAACCCAAGAATTACAGCACTATTAGAAGCATTTTAAAAAAAGCTCAAGGGGAAAAAATTGCTCCATATTAATATGTTTTTAAAATCAATGATACCAAAATTCTCGAGGAGTATCTAGATAAAGAAAAAAATTACTTATGAAATTTATCAAGAAGAACGAAAAATAATAAACAATAAACGAGCATTAATATTAATGCCAACTTATGATAAACCAAGGAAAAAACGAGAAATATAAATTTCGATAATCGGGACAAATTCCATATACTGTCGAGTAACAATAGCAATAAATACGATAATTTTTGTTCGCTACTACAAATCCGACACAATTCATGACCAGAAAAACCTGTATCGTTTAAGAAACATGGTTAAGTATTAAAGATAATAAAAAGGAAACACTAGAATAAACATTAGGAGAGTAGTTATGATGTATGTTTAATGAACGTTTATAATCTTGAAATTGATATAAAACCGGCACCATTTCACCCAGATTTTCGCTTAAAAAATTTACAATCGACCGAGTTGCAACCGCATTATCGAAAGCATAATTTTTATTATCTACAAAAATCAATAACAATACCACTCAAAATGTTTACCTTCGCCATTGAAATCTTCTGCGAGTTACTACTGCTGATCACATTTATCGCTGGTACTTCGTCTACTACAAAACTCACAATCAAGCTGTATCATAACTCAAACGCTTTTTCAAGCGATAAAACCAAGGACAACCGACCAGCTGTTGATTGAGCGAAAATACTTATCAAGTATAACATGTTTGTGGGAAGGTCTTAATAAGTTATTGGATAAAACTTCTGAGTTGGACTCAGTCTTATTCAACAAAATGGTTATAAAATACCATAAAGTACGCGGAAGAAAAAGCATTATCGCTTTTATTCTAAAAGGCCAATTCTCGAGAAAAACAATCGAAGCGCTTAAAATGTAGGTAAAGAAAAGGAGAAGAGAAATATAGACGTTAATAGCATTTATAATAATATATAACATAGAGCGACCAAAGTATATGGGTACTCATCAATGGCTTTGGGTCCGAGTATTTCCTCTCATTTATTTCCGTTAGCTCCTATTGAAGGTATGTTAATGTCCCTCAAAAGAAATATTGAGGAGGTTAACCGAGATGTGAAGAGGCTCAAGGTTCAACCTTCTGGTGCCTTACTTACATTTTTTGGTATGTTTGACTTTTTTTAGTATATTGATTCTATTGCTGGATTATAAGCCTCATGATACAATTTTATAGGCACATTGACTGAAAGAGAAAAGGGCAAAGCTGTGACAAAGAGCAACCAAGAGATGAAATTTCCATTCCAATTAACAAATGCAACTTTGCCAAAACGCTGTTATATAGAACGTTCTCAAAACCCACCCACAGATAGTAATGAGGATAATTACCAAGCATACTTTATTAATGCTTGTTCAAAGCTCCCATTATTGACAAGAAAACCTGACTGTGTGACAATAGATTTAAAGATCGTGGGTTGGATCCCCTTAATATTAATGCTGAGATGGTAATTGAAATTAAACCACAACAAAAAACTTGGTTCTCCAATCAGGACATTGTAATGGGCAAGTGCTGGCATTTGCAGAAAAAGTCTTGCAACTACAGTCAAGGCATCATTTTGTATTTGCAATACTCACAGATTGCCACCACATACAACTATTTGAAATAGCAAGGGGTATGAAACATTTACATCTTGATATACAGTGGCCTATCAAAAGTCATGGGGCACCCCCAAAATTTACTAGTAAAACATATGGAATGTCTTTCTTTTCAAAAATCTCTCTGGCACATGTGTACGTGTACTATCAAAGGATAATATTTTTTTTGTATGGTTCGGAAGCTAATTGATTGTGCTCTTTTCCAAAAAAGTTTTATATATTATTATAAATCAGTAGCTTGACAAAGTGTGCATATACGTGCTATACACATATAATTATAGATTTCATATCGTGATTTAAAGACAGCTACTTCAACTTACTACCACTTTATAACGATAATATATAA